TCTATGGATGAAGGATGTGCTCTGTGGATGGAAGTGATCTGTGGAACAAAGAAAGCTGTCCCCTTGACCAAAGAGATTGGCAGGACCAAGGGCTGTCCTGGAACTCTGGTTCCTTTCCCAGGGGGAAGAGTCAAAGTCTTTGTATGGAGGATTATATCTCAAGGTCAGTATCCAGGGGAATTAAGAAGAAACCCATCTTGGTCCAGCCTATTGTCTTGTTTTCCTCCTCCAAGTCTAAATCTCCTACTGGAAATTAAACACCAAAACACACACACACACACACACACACACACACACACACACACACACACACACTCATCAGACAGCAGTTGCACACAGCATCAACAACTCTTTCCCCTTTCTCCCAATTCATGCTTGTTTGTGCAGTAAGGCACTTGAAAGCTTAGGCACTTAGTATACATTTGCATTTTTTTTTAAAAGGCACAGCCTATGTTTTGATGGTGCTGTATCCCTCTTTAATGGTTAATCCCAACTGCTCCCTAAGGAATTCCAAAGAAGTAGGCACAGAGTCAAAGAATTTCCAAGTTGGAAGGGACCACAGAGGTCACTAGTCCAATCTCCTACCTGCCGAGGGACTCCTATCTATCACATCCTAGACAAGTCATTAGTCAGCCTCTGCTTGAATACCTCCAGGAAGGGGAACTCCTTATCTCATGAAACAACCCAGCCCACTTTTAGATAGTTGGATAGCTCTAGTAGTCAATTCTTTCATATTTGGAGTTGGAATCTGCCACCCTGAAGTTTCCACACAGTTCTGCCATAAAGGGCCAAATGAAGCAAGTATAACTTCTTTTTCACATCATAGCTATTGCAATGTCTTAACACAGAGATACACCCCCACCCCTTAACCTGTTTTTTTCTCCAAGAGAAACATTTCTAGTTTCTTCAACTGATCTGATACTCATGAGACATAGTCATGAGGCTCGGTACCTTCACCATTCTGGTTACCCTCTTCTGGTTGTGCTCTAGCTTGTCAATGTCCCCTTACAATGTGATCCCCCAAGCTGATGTGTGGTTTGATAGGACAGAAAACAGTGATGCGATCACTGCCTTTGTTCTGGACACTTTGTTTCTATTAGTGTAGTCTAAGGTCATATTCACTTTTTTTTTTCCTGGCTTTTCATCACAGTGCTGACTCATAGTGTGCTTTGTAGTTCATTAACCCCTCAGGTTTTTTTTTTTTTAATTACTGGATCAAATGGACGTTTAACCATATCTCCCCCATCCAGTACTTAAGCAGTTTAAAATAACTATTTGAGTCGCTTACATTTATACTTGGTCAATTTCTGATTAGTTGCAGTGCACCATTTGAATCAGTTCAGATACTTTTGGATCCTAATTTTATCATTGTCATTGTCATCAGATATTCCTCCTATCTTCCCGTCATCTTTAAATTTGATAACATCATCTATCTTCACAAAAATCATAAACTAACAGCAACAAGGATAGAACCCTATTGCACTCTACTGTAGACTTCTCCCTCAGTTAACATGTGATTATTGATACCAATAATATGAGTCCAATTGTTTCAGTGGTTACATCTCAATCAAAATGTATGATGATTCTATTTGTATCTCTATTTTGCCCACCAAGATAACGTGAAACCACTGAATGCCCTTTATTGCAATGCACTCATACAACTTCGAAGCATAACTCCCTGATTACCCATCTTGTAGCCTTGTCAATGAAAGATTTTGGTCTATAGTGACTTGCTTTGAGTGGACCCATGCTAGCTCCTGGAGATCATTGCTTCCCTTTCTAAATGCTTTGTAAGCCATCTGTTCAATAGTCTGTTCTAGAATTTTGCCAGGAATGGCCTTTAAGCTTACTGGTCTATCAGACATCCTCTTTTTAGTTAAAGACTCCTATTCTCTACTTTCTTTCTACAAATGGTATCTTAGTGTGAATATGAAAACAGATCTGCATGGGAAAAGGGAACCGAGGTTTAACATACTAATAGTTTTTGGGTAAGAGGAGGAGTGGGATGATTTTAATAATTTCTTCATGGTAACATCTTTGATTTGCAACAGAAGAAACCTGTCCATTTCCCCCCAGAAATGATGGATGGCACTTGAAATCAGATTTTTATCTTAAATGCAAATGTGAGGTTCTGTTCCCAGACTTTTGCTGTAGTAATTTAATTTCTAAATAGTGAAAACTAATTGGAATAATGGCTTCACACCTTTGCTCCATTATAGGTCTCCAAACACAATTTCTATTTTTTAATCAGTGGGTGGCAGGTTGGCTAAGCAAGTACTTTCCATTAGCTTGGGAAGCCTCTGGGAGAATGGAATGTAATTAACTGAGCAAGATGAACCTATTAAGGAATGGAATTTAGTAAGATGTATATCTGGTCATGGGACACTTGGATTCTTCCCTTACTGTAAATAAGACAGAAGCTAGAGGAGGTTGAAGACACTAGTACTATTCATCCCCCTCTGAGCAAAGCAGATCAAACTTGGTTATGATAACCTTAGAGTCACTCATTCCCCTAGCTCTTGACTTGCTGGTTTAGACAGGGCTGAGGACCACGCAGTGAAAAAAAAATGACCCTTTACTGTTGGGGAGAATTACCTCTCTGTATTGTACCAACACACTCTAAGGGACTGTGAGAAACTTCTCATCAATTTGGATGGAGCCTTGCCAGCGTGGAAGACTACTGGTGGCCTGGAGTACTAACTCTGACAGTTGCTGGGAGGAACATTACCTTTGAGCAGAGGACCTGGGCGTTAGGTTACAGAGAAAGCCAGAGAGGGGACACCCCAAGGTCTTTTGTCTTAGGCAAGGTGGCAAGAATAGTACTCACATTTTCTATTTTATGAGTCTTTCCTCTCAACATTCCTGGGAAGTAGGCAGTGTTAATTCTTATAATACCTACTTTATAGTTTATAGTTTTATAGATAGAACTGAGGTTCAAGGACAGTAATTGATTTATCCAAGGTCACACAGCTCATCAGTGGCAGAGCCAGGCTTGGAGCCTAGAGTTTAAAGGAAACTCAGATACCATCCAGTCCAGCCTCTACTTCAAAATGAATCCCATCTAAACATTATGAAAAAGCGGCTAGCTTTTGCTTTTTGCTTAATGATAGGAAACTCACGACTTCCTGAAGCAGCTCATACTACTTTTGGACAACTTGAATTGTTCACTGAGGTCAAATCCATCCCTCTATAGCTTCCACTCATTGTTTCTAGTTCTGCCAAGCACAAGTCTCATTCCTTTTCCACCGGACAGCTAGGAGGTTTTCTGGCTTCCAAGACCAATTCTTTTCCCATTATGCCTCCAAGGGATGTCCCACTCCTCCCTCTGGAGGATGGGCTGCCCCATCACAACAAGCTCCACAAGTGACTCTCAGTGTTTTGGTTGTCAGTTGGGTTTAAAGTAAGCCTTTCAGCTTCCTTGTTGACTTCTAGAAGCTAATAACTCACCATTCATTCCATCATGAGTTAAGAATTCAGGGGGTGGTCGTAGGGCTGCTGAGGTGTTCCTGGAAGCTAGAGGTATGGTTAGATTAGTGCTATCTTCAGGTAAGATTCTAGTGCTCTGTTATAACTGCAAATTAAGGCCTGTGTCCTGGTGAGCCAAGGGGAAAAAAGGCGCACCTGGGCTAGACTACAGTGTTTGCCCTCTGGGAGGTATCACCCATCACTGATCACACATCTTGGAGAAGGAACCAGGCAACAGTGGTTAAATTGTGGTGAAGTGGAAACACTGGACTTGGAGTAGAAGACTTGGGTTTAGCCTGTCTCTGTCATTTAATACCTATGTAACCATGGGCAAGTCATTTCCAAGTCTGTTTCCTTATCTGTAAAATAAGGATAATACTTGGTGCTAAGATCTTCATATAAGTGTTATGAAAACACTGTTAACCTCAAAGCACTATAGAAATCTGGGCTGTCACTAGTGCAGTAAGAAATATTGATATGGTGGAAAATAATTACACAGAACTACTATATAAAAATAAATTTACTGTAAAAGTTGGATGTGTGGGGTGTGGTAGTCAGCAAATCAGGGTTAAAGGGGTTGTAGAGAATTCTAGGGGAAATGGCAAATAGGCACCTTTAGCAAATTTCCAAACCTTCATTCATGTGAAAGAGAAAAAAATAAAAGCTTGGAGACCAACTGCAAATTATAGTCTTGATCCAGGCTGCCTCAGAAGGTCGAGGGTAGGGCAGACAGATACTAATGATGAGAGGCTAAACTCCCATTTTGGACAAACAGATTTAGAGGAAAGGTGCAGCCTATATTATAACCAATGCAATATGTAAGCCAAAGGTCATACCTATAGGAAGGAAACTATTGTTCTTTCTGGGCCCCTGAACCCATATCCATCTCATAAATGCTGAAAAAATAATGTAGAACATATGGTCCAATTTAGTTGATGATCTTTACTGTTGTGGTCCCTTTAAATCCCTCCCAACCCAAGACTTTGAGGACTTTCCCATTCTTTAATCTGCATTTTCACCCAGTATTGATCAAATAACTTCTATGAGATCTTCCTTTAACTGGGAAGGGGAGGGGGTTAAGTGGAGATGATGTCGGGTCCTTAAACCTCAGATATGCTGAGGGAATCACCTGGGAAAGCTTCAATACCCCACAGGGGCACTTCCAACCTCCCTCCCAAAGCAGCTGCACTGTTTCGGGGGGGAAGCACCAGAGCTGGTCAGGTCCACTGTTCCTGGAATGGGTGGCTTTAGGCCTGATTCAGAGGGAACAGCAGTTCTGATAAGAGTCCATGAATGTCCTTGATCTTCCCAATAGGGAGAGGTACTGAGGGAGTGAGTACTGCAGCACTATAAAAATTAAAATTGTCCTTTAGATCATGTCATCTCTCCACCCCCTCTGGAGACATTCTCTGTGACCTTAATTTTTTTTAAAAAAAATTTATTCCTTTAAAAAAAATCTCTTTCCTTTACCAGTTTAAAAAAAAATAGTTGCAATATGTGTATATGTGTGTTTAGGGGAATGTGTGAGCATATACATATGCATATATACACATATACATATATATACACACACAGACACATATAGGCACACACATATATTTGCTATGCTTATAGGTCAGAGTTCTTGTTGAATTTTTCCAGGACAGTTGAGTTTGTGTACTGAAATATCCATTGCTGTGTGGGAGATGATGGGTTGCAGGTATTCATGAAGATCCTGTGATCACTCTCACTACAGTCCATGCAGCCAGCACTGACGGGATGATACAGAGTCTTGTCCTGGAAAACAGAGAGATTGTAAGACAGAATTTGCTTTACAGAGGACAGGAGGAGCAAGGGGAGACACAATGAATAGTACACTGTTTCTATAAAGAGAAAGGAAAGGCCGCTGTCTTCAAACTCCAGCTAGGCAGACATTCTTCTCTACCTGGTTTTCTAAGTCACTTCAATGTAGCGGGAAAAACACTGAAACAGGAGTCAGAAGACCCGAGGTTCTGGTCCCAGTTCTGCCACCAACTTGTGTGGCCCTAGACAGTCACTTTACCTGTCTCAATCTAATGAGATGACCTCGTGCCCATTCAACATTGGGAGAACACATTCTGCCCTAGTGATCCTTGGGGAGCTACTGGGAAGATAAGTCTGATAAGGAATGTGTCTAAGGGATCCAATAAGTTCAATTTCATCCAGCATTTCAAAGAGCATTAGATGAAAAAACCTTTGCTGTTCCTTGGCATATATGTTTCCCTGGACAGGGAATCCTTCAACTGGGGACCCTGTATTGGAGGCCCCTTACCAGTCCCCCAATCTCCTTTAAATGTACTCAGACATTATATTACATGGCTAACTACAACCTTCTTAGGGTCTCTAATCATAGTGTTACTATGATTAAATGATGACAGGGCCAGCTCAAATAATGGTCACTGACATTGCTAAATATTTTATAGTTTATAAAGACGTGGAGCACAAGGTTACTACTCCCATTATGAAGCTTAAGAAGGGAAGTGACATGATTTGAACTCAAGTCTACTCATTCTGAATTCATTGTTTTTACCACTATACTTTTCTTCTTCAGCTGATGAAGTTGGACTGTATCCAACACTCCCCATGGCAAGTCATCCTTAGGGGGAAAGTCTTGTAGTGACTGCTCTGGGTCTGTGCTCTGACGGTTAATGTTCAGTGCACTAGATGGAGTCGGGGGGCTTGACTTGAGGACCTGCCAGGCCATTTACTAGCTGTATAACCTTGTATAGGTCCTTCTGTTTTTCTGTCTTCCTCACCCTCCATCTCCTTACTTATAAAATGGGGACCCAGTATACCTGTACTACTTATTTCTTGGGGATGTTGGGAGGCTCAAACAAGACCATGTGAGCAACACTTTGCTGTCTCTTCTGGAAAACCTGCAGTGACCAACTGTACTCAGCACTGATAAAGACCTTGTCCTTAGACGTCACATAGTGCTTTGTTTTTCGACACATAGAGCACGTGATGTTGCTTATTCTGCTACCTGCGCTTACATCTTATCCAAATGCTAGACTGCAAACTTCATGAGGGCAGGGACATCCCCAGTGCCTAGCATAGTACTCTGCACACAGTAGGCACTCAATAAATGTCTCTCATATCATACTGTATTTATAACCATAAAGTCCTGTATTAATCTGATCTATTATTGTTAATGTGATTTTTATAGATGTCTTATAGCAGCTCTATTCAACACAACTTATATTGGACCGAAGGGGAGGATGGTTGGTAACCACTTAGCTGCCACTCTTACATTTCCATATTTCCATAGCTGGTTCCCTTTCATGCCATGACAATCATAGAGTGTGACAGGACTGCTATGGGATACAGTGTCAAAACAAAACTTCTTGGTGTGCTGGGGGTCTCCAGGGCGGATATCTTCTCTCCAACTGAAGGTAAACACCTGTGGACACACAGCCATAACCATTTTCATTATAATAAGGACAGGAGAAAGAATACCTAAATGGACTATTATGCCACTGTGATCCCAAGTTCCTGTCATGGAGGTTAGGGCTAGGCTTCTTTATAGGGGACTGTAACAAACTTATTTTTTTCAAGTATGGATAATTCTAAAAATTCAATTTGCTCTTTTATTATGAACTTAAATATCAGCCAACATGAACCATTAAATATGCAAAGAACAGAGAAATAAGATTATATATATAAAATTGTGAAAACCTATCATGTAGTTAGTTTTTTAAGAGAGCAAAACATTTTTTTTCAAAGACCTGGCAGGTGATTTGCTGATGGCTATGGAACACAAAGGACAATATCCTGAAGATGATGGCAGGAAGCTAGAGGCCTCTTAAGAACTAATTGCGGCAAAAAGCTAGAAACAAAGTGGAACAAACTGTAGCATATGAATGTAATGGAATATTATTGCCCTATGAGAAATGATAACTATGAAGAGTTCAGAGAAACATGTGAAGACTTATGAACTGATGCAGATTGAAAGTAGATCAAGGAGAACCATTGACTCCAATAATATAAATAAAAATAGCACTTAAAGACAGCTAATGATCTCAGATGAATGCAATGAATAATTTTGGTTCTAGAGGGCAGACAGTACAACCTTGCCCCATCTCAAAAGAAAAATGGGGACCCATGAGATTAGAGTGCTGCATACGCTGCCCAATGTAGGTGATGTGTTGGCTGGTTTGGCTTAACCAAATATATACATATAGTTCGTGATATTAATATGATTATTGTGATCATCAGTTCAATCCCTTAGTGTCTTCATTTGTCTTCCAAGACTGCATTTATGGTTTCTCCATCATGTTGGTCAGTCACTCTCCTTTTCTGAGACTCGTTTTCTTCTATAAGGTTAGGTGGCTGAACTAGAAAATATGCAAGGTCTCTTCTAGCTCTCTTTCTTAGTTTGAATATTCTATGTGTTATTTTCTAAGGTCTCTTCCAAGATCTAAGACCCCATGATTCGAATACCACTCCATCTGCGAGTCGACCTGGATTTATTCCTCTTTTGACAGCTTCTGCTAAGGATACTTACGCACTCTATTTTTAGACTTCAGTTGGTTTAATTATTAGTTTTGTCTTTGCAAATGTACTAAAGCTGCCCTTTTGAGGATATTTGATTCTTCCAATAGGTCAATATATATACAGCTCTGTGGATTTGAGTCTCTTTCTAGCACCATCAGAGGCATTAATCAAATTCCTTTTTTCTGTCTAGGGAATTGATTATTGAATACTGGAGCTGCCTCACAGACTTGCCTTGGGCTCTTCTGTGCCCATGTTTAGTATTTGTAATACATTATGACTCTTCCGTTACCTCTCTCTCTGGGCCCTCCCATTCATTCCCTCTCTTCTTCCTCTTCTCCTTCAGATGTGACTTAGAGGGCACTGGAGCAGTCACTCGGGCCTCTGGCACTACAGGACTGAAGAAGAGGAATTCTACAGTCTAACTTGGAGTTGCCTAGTTGTCTGAGGTCCCCGCTAAGGGAGGGTTACCTGCACATTACTCCATGCTGCCTCCGCTCGGCCTTTGACGCAGCTTTCTAATCTCAGAGGGGAGCCTGGAGCACCATGTTTTGTGCCTATACACAGCTGGGTGCCTACATTACGGATCTGAAATGGCAAAGAGAGCTCTGTGAATATGTTGCTTAGGGGCCAAAGACTCAATTAAAGCTTTCCAGAAAAAATGGAACATAATGACAGGAACTCCAAGGACTGGTAGGGGTAAGGGGGACCATTAATATGGTTAAGCTTCAAGTTGGTGACCTTAAAGTTTAAGTTAACCTTATGGCACTGTCTACCTCTCATTAAAGGAAGCTCAATTAAACCAGGGTCAAAGAAACTATTTACTTAGCCATTGAACAGACAGCTCTACAGAGGGAAATGAGAGAGTCTAAGGAATCATCTTATCATTCTCCCTAAGGCAGGGACTCTTAATCTGGGGTCTGTGGATAGATTTCAAGGGAACTTGGATGGGAAAAAAAATCACACCTTTATTTTCCCTAACTTCTAACTAAAATTTAGTATTTCCCTCAATTATGAATTTTAAGAAGTCCCCATTATTCTGAGAAGGGTTCCATAAATTTCACCAGATTGTCAAAGGAATTCATGACACAAAAAGATTAAGAACCCCTGTCCTGAGGCAACATGTTATAGTAGAAAGAGTGGGACATCCGTGTTTGGGCCCTAACTCTGCTCCTAAGGGGATATAGGGTCTTGGAGAAGTCACAACCTCTCTGGGCCTCAGTGTCCTCCTTTTCTTTTCTTTTCTTTTTTTTTTTAAGTGAGGCAATCGGGGTTAAGTGACTTGCCCAAGGTCACACAGCTAGTATGTGTCAAGTGTTAGGTCTAAGGCCGGATTTGAACTCAGGTCCTCCTGACTTCAGGGCCGGTGCTCTATCCACTGTGCCACCCAGCTGCCCCAGTGTCCTCCTTTTCAAAATAAAGAGGTTAGCAATGATCTAATAACCCAGAGGGAAATAAATGATCTCTAAGCGCCTTTCCAGATCTAACATTCTTTTTCCTGTTATGCAATTTCTTCTAACCCTGAAATTCTTTGTACAGCTATCCCTTCCACATTACTACTTTCTCCATCAAGGTTTCAATATATTGCAGGTTGGCATAAAAAATTAAATGGGACACAGAAAAAGTTCAGAAACTCAGAAATGCATAAAATACATGTATGGTATTATATAATATCAACATATCTTATCTTTTAATACCATAAATATACCCAAATTTTACAATACGGTACTGTAAACACCCCATAAAAGAAAAAGTCAGACTTCTTCTCTGGTATGAAGGGAGGGCCAAAAAATTTTACAAGGATTTTCCAGATTGAGGGGGTGCCATGCCCCTAACCCCCACAAAGTGGAAGGGATAACTGTGCTATGTTCTAAGGACCTTTCGAGATCTAATGTCCTATGATTTTATTTATTTACTTAGTGCCTATGTATCCAGCATTGTGTCCAATATGTGGAAAAGTATAAGACAAAGACCCTGCCCTCAAGAAGTTTACAACTGTATTTTATTTCTACAACATTTACACACAATATTTACATCTAATCATCTCATTTTCTTCCCAGAAAATCCTTAGGAGGAAAGGAAAAGGCAGTTGGTAATAGTGCCATTTTACAGATTAGAGAAAGTGAGGCCCAGAAGAAAGAGGCCAGTTGCTGTAGGTCACAGCCAGGATTAGGTCTAGATCATTGCTTCATCTCGAGTATGTGAATCTCCACCAAGAGTAAGATTGGAAGTTATATAACCAAATTAAATTAGGCAGATTGGCTCCCCCTTTGACAACTTCCTTACAACCTGTTTGTTAGCTCTTGTTCACCACTTATTTGGGTTTCAGTGGCCCTATCTCTAAAATAGGTAGCTAAGTAGCAGGGAAGGAGGTGGGGGGGAAGAATCTTTCCTTCCAGTTTTGCATTCTCAATGAAATAAGAAACAGAAGAAACCCTCTCTTCTTCCTCCTTCACTCCTCAAAACCCACCTCTCCCCAGGCTGCTGCTGGGGGCTCCACCGGAGGATAAAACCTGGCCAGGTCCCAGGCAATTTCAGTCATGAACCACTTGAAGCTTTTGCAGTTTAGGTGGTTTCGCAGATCCTTTTGGGCAGAGACATCCCCTGTGGAGAGATGGCGGTACTCTGGAAGGCGCTGGTAAATGTATTCTGCATATTCATCCATCCACACCTCTGCCACTCGTTTCAGATTCTGGGAGAAGAGAGATAGAAGGAAAAGAATGTTAAGCTCTTGGTGGAGCCAAGATGGAACTGGCCTATGTAGACATTCTTATTTTGCAGAATCCATGGGGAGATCACAAGAGTCAACCTTATTCTGAGAAGCAGCCCAGAAAAAGCACTGGCCTCAGAGGAGGAAGATCTGAGCTTCTATCACAGTAACAGCTGTTTGATCTTGTAGAAATCATTTCACCTTTCTAATCCTCTGCCTGCTCATGTGAGAAATGGGATGATACTTAAACTACCTATTTCTATAGGTGTTGTGAGGAAAACACATTGTAAGTCATAGGGTGCTGTAGGAAAGATGAATGATTATTAATATCCAACTACTTCAGGTCTGTTACTTCAGGGGTGCTGGAAAGGTCTTAAAGTATTCTTTCCCACATTCTAGCTAATTCCTAAAATTTCACTGTTGGACCATTATCTTTTTATCTTAGGACTACGATCTCTGTAAAAAATCTCCCCAACAGTTTGTTAGTGTGAAAGAAGGATATGAGCCAAGGCAGTTTGGAATGCATATAAAAGGGAGAGCAAATAAGGGCAGCAAGCACCTGAGGCAGATTATGAGAGAGACAGATAATAAAAGAGAGGATGGAGAGAGGGGAAAAGAGATGGGGCAAAGAATAACAGGAGGGAGTTAAGGGGAGAGGGAGAAAGGAGAGATAACTGAGGAAACAAAAAGGATTTCATAACTGGGAGGCTGGGGACATCAAGAATGAACAGAACAAAATCAGAATCACAGCAGCTTAGAACTGAGAAGGACTTTAAAATGTACAGTGTAGGATGTCAGAGCTTAAAGAGACACTTGAGACCACCTAATTTCCTAATTTTATAGAGAAAAGGGAATCCCTCAGAGATAAAGTGATTTGTGTCACAACGGTTCTTTAGTGGCTGAGCTGGGACTAGAACTCAAGATAATTCAATTCAACAGTTCATCAAATATTTGGTTAGTGGTTATTATGTGCAGAGAACTATCTCTACTTCTTCCACCATACTCTTCTACCTCCTACTAAAATGGGATTCCACTCTCCCACTTTCTTGGTGTTTTAAATCTTAAGAACCACTCAGAAAATTCTGAAACAGTGTTGGGGGGGGAACGATAACCTGCAAGTCTCTTGATTAAAACATTCAAAAAATTCTAGGCTCCTATTAAGCAAGCAAGCACAGCTAAGATCCCACCATTAAGTCAACAGGAAGAGTCAGCTTCCTGGATCCATGCGGTTTTGCAAGACTTAACACAATGAGGACAGCTATAGCCTCCTAAGATTGAAGGAGGTCGAAAAGAGTTCATGGGGCATATTATATATCACCAGCCAGGTTTAAACTTGAAAGCAATATGCTAGTCTAGGGTAGGTAAAACAGGGGGAAACTGGCCTAAATTTCATTTCAGGGCACTGGAGGATAGTTAGCCTGGAGAAGAGAAGAAATGATGGGAGACTTGCATGTCATTTGGGAGAGAGATTAGATTTGTTCTATGTGATCCTAGAGAGAACTAGGAACAGTGTATGGAAGTCAAGGGAATATAGGTTTCAATGAAAAGAAAAACTCGCTAAAACCTAGAGCTGTCTCAAACTGGAATGGGTTCCCTGAAGAGGTGGTAGATAGTCCATCTGTAGGGGTCTTTAGTCAGAGGCTGGATGACCACTTGTCAACATGATGTATAGGGATTTCCTGCCTAAGGAAGGGTTGGACTTCATCTTCTAACATCTGAGCCTGAGATCTGGCAAGTCTATATACTGAGGCCTTTTCCAGTGCTAATATCCTATGATTCTACAAGAGAATTAGCAGTAAGTGTTGTTTAAACAAGGGAACTGACAGAGGTGGTATGATCTCCTTTAAAAATGAGTCTTTATTTGCTTGAAATGGATGGCCCCTAAATTGTCACCTTTGGTTAAAATTTCTTGCTTCCTTCCCAATCCACCTCTTCCATGAAAGCTCTATTCTTCCTTTAGGTGAAAGTGATCTTTCACTTCCCAGAATTCTTCTGAAAGCCATAGGCTTGGGCCTTGCCCTAATTTTTAGACTCTCAAACTTCCTGAAGGAAGGGGTCAACCTGTAGTTGACCAGGAATCCCTTGGACCACATCTCTGAGAAGTGGTTATCCAGCTTGTACTTAAAGCCCTTCAGAAGTGAAGAGCCCATTGCTCTCTGGGCGAAGCTCATTTCACCGGTGGACAGCTCCACTGGGCAAGTTTTCCCTTACTGTAAGCAGAAATTCGTCTCCCTGCAACTTAGATGGTAGGTTCCTTGTGGACAGTGTCTTTACTGTAGTTCTCTTGGTATGCCCAATAGCCTGCCTACAGGTAGCGCTGAATGAATGTTAGATGAGGCAAACTGAATTGGAATGCTCCCAAAGGGAGTGCTGTCTGATAACATGGGGAGAGATTAAGTGGCCTCTTCAGGTCCCTTGTGAATTGGGTGTTCTATTCTAAAATCTCAGTTGGCCTTGGCTGGTGAATCAATCAAACTGATTCTTCAGCGGCTGGTGTGGTCACTATGATCTTACGTCACTAGAGGGCGCTGAAGCGTTTCTATTGGGTAGAAAGGTATTGGGGAGAATAGTGGCAACCTGAACTTGACCAAACCCTCTCCATAGCAGTGAGCTAGATGACAGGTGGGAGACCCTCACTCTAGGGACCCTGGGCTTTTACCTTATGCCTCGTAGGCAGTTAGAATGGACCCTTACGAGGGTGCTCCCTCCAGCATGGCGCTCAGTCAGATAGGAGGCAGTTGTTCTTCAGGAACTGCAAAAGGGAGAGGTCACCTGGAGCCTCCCCTCTTGGTAAAGCAAGCAGGCATCTGGTCCCTGGGCCACTCAGGGAGAATAAGAACACCTTCCATTTCCATAGGTCTTTATAAAGCACTTCCCTTGGTAATCTTGTGAGATAGGTAGTACAAGTATTATCCCCATTTTACAGGTGAGGAAAATGGCAATGACTTACTTGCCTGTGGTCACCCAGATGACCTGACCCTTGGTAGCTGGCACTGGAATGACAGCTATGTCTTCTGACTCCCACTCCAGGGTTTTTCTCTTCTCACTACACCATGGGGCCTTTCATTAATAACAGCTCACATTTCAAGGGTTTTAGACACACACACACACACACACACACACACACACACACGTGTTCAGGTTGTATCTCAAAGATCATCTAATTTAACCTATCTGGCCAAGAATCCTCTTCACAACATCCCCGACAAATAGAAGCAGCTGGGTGGCACAGTGGATAGAGTGCTAGACTTGAAGTCAGTTGGATCTGAGGTCAAATCTGGCCTCAGACACTTATTAGCTGTGACCCTGGGCTTTAGTTAACTTCAGTTAAGTCTGAGGTTACCTGTCTGCCTCAGTTTCCTCATCTGTAAAATGGGGATAATAATAGCACTTACCTCCCAGGGTTGTTGAGGCTAAAATGAAAATAATGTAAAGTGCTTTGCAAACCTTAGAATGCTTTATATAAATATTAGTTATTATTATTATTATCCAACCAAATTATGTTTGAAAACTTTCAGAAAAGGGGAACTTGTTATGTCCTCAGGCAGCCCATTCCATTTTAGGAGAGCTCTGATTCATAGGGAGTTTATTCAAACGTTGTGTGGAGGTTATAAAGAAGCCAATTTTAACTCGATATAAGGAAAGTGAGGTTCAAAAGGTGGAGGAACTTGTTCAAGGACACATGGCTATACTGAGTGATGTTGCTTGGGAATCAAATCCAGGACTTTTTGACTCCCAGGCTAGGAGCTCAGTGTGTATTTATAAATACCATAACGCCTTCAGACTCCCCATCACTCAAGTGCAACAAGACAGTAAAATAAACACTTCTACACCTCTTGCTTGTTCTACTCTGACTGAATGAGTCTAAACTCCTTACCCTTCAAGTCTGCTTTTGATGTCCACAGGCCAGAGTATCTAGAGCCAAAAGGAGCCTTAGAGATTAGTCCAATCCCCTCATTTTACAGAGGAGGAAACTGGGGCCCAGAAAAGGTTAGTGACTTTGCAGAATCATGGAACCAAAAAACTGGAAGGGACCTAAGGGGTCACCTAGACTAAACTGTTAACTAAACAAGAATACTTTTTGAAATATCTCAGATAAGGGGTCATCTGGCTATGTTCATCTTCTACTTGTTTTTCCTAGGAACCTGGGGGAAGGAGCCACCTTGAGTTACCTCTGGTTCAAGCAGGGAAACCTTCTTCCATATGTTAGACCTTCAAATACTTGAGGATGGCCATCATGTCCCTACTAAGTTTTCTCTTCTCTGTGCTAAGTACGCCTTATGGAGAGCCCCTTCAGTCCCCCTGAGCAAACTGATTCCTCTCTACTGGACACTTCAGTTTTCTAAAATGTGGCCCCCAGAATAGAATCCAGGGCTCCAGATATGATCTGGCCAGGATGGAGTCCTTCATTCCCCAAGATCTAGATCCTGTGCTTCTCTGAATAGCATCTCAGGTTGAATCAGCCTTTCTGGCTGCCATGTCACATTGCTGACTCCTACCAAATCTGCAGTCCATGAAAATCCCCAGATCTTTCCATACAAACTGTTGCTCAGTCATGCCTTTTTAAATTGTACTTGTGAAATTGCTTCTTTGAAATCAACTACAGGGCTTTACACTGGCCTCTATGAAATGTCATCTTAATAGATTTTGCCCTAAAGTCTAACCTGTCCAGTTCCCCAAATCCTTTGGATTTGAATTCTGTCATCAAACTTGGTCCAACTGGTATGAGCATCTGTAGAGAGATTTAAGATCTGAAGAAAATCTTGAGGTGAGCTGTGGCCTTCTCCAGCTAGCCCAAGTTTGGGCTAAGTTCAGACCTGAGAGAATTCTTAAGAAAGTAGGCTCTACAAAATAGAAACTCATGGTTCCACGTATAATTCTCATCTTTTCTATTATGGATATGGAAATGCTCATTTTATTTGTTTTTGGTTTTTGTTAAGTTCAGAATAAAATGTAAAATTCAGAGGAGATTTACCCCTCCTATCCTGGGCTTCTCTTGGCAAAACCAACATCTTACCCGGGCCAGGCTGACTCCTGTGGGGATCTTGTAGGGGATATATTTCCTGTAGATATGACCCACTCTGGAGCAGGGAATGTCCTCCATTCGGCCTCCACACATCCACACCTGTGAGGGAGAGAAGGGAAGAGAAAGTAGAGATAGAAAACATGAATCCTTGGATGAGATTCCCAATTACCAGTTCATTTTTAAAATTTTTCCCAGAGCTTGGTGTGGCTTAAAAGTCTAGAAGTTTTCCTACAGAACAGCACTAGTCTAGATTTTTACGTTGAAATTCAGACAGCAACATTCAGAGAACCACAGCAATCCACTGCTTGGAAAAGGCCTCCTAGGTTCTCCTTCCAGCTCTGCAGATCTAATGTTTTTCTGAACAGAGGCCAAACCATGAACCTCTCTGGCAGGTTTTCTTTCTCTGCACACTCCCCTAAGTAACTGAAAATCAAAGATAGTATATTGAAAAAAGGTCATCAAAAGGATATCAATAAGTACTGATGCATAAATTTACTATGTCACCTCCATAAATATATTTTTTTTTAATTTGGAGGCAATCAGGGTTAAGTGACTGGCCCAGGGTCACACAGCTTGTAAGTATCTGAGGTCACATTTGAACTCAAGTCCTGATGACTCCGGGGCCAGTGCTCTGACCACTGTGCCACCTAGCTACCTCACCTCCATAAATTCTTTATGAAAATGTTACACACATTTATCAAAGGTATCCTCAAAAAAATATGAAAAGGACATAGATATGCTTTCAAAATTTTTTCTAAAGCAGATCAAAATTTCACATTCATGCAATCGACTACAAGGTATAGAGATATACAGAATCCTGTTTCATTTATTATTTAAAAAAGGTATTTGATTCAGTGAAATAAAATATGGCTCTCAAGTATTTCCTCCAAAAAAGTGTCTGCCAGGCATATATTAGTAAGAAATTCTTTGATACAAGAGCAAAGATAACTTTGTTCAACAATCCTAAGAAAATCAAGATCAGGTGAGGCATAAAACAGGGACATATGCTTGCTAAAGGCATTTATCACTATCATGAAGGCTATCTAGTGCAGAGTGATGAAAATGAAATGAAAGAGGGATTCCCTATAAGGCTGAAGTCCCCAGTTGCACCTGTTTCTGGATGACATTTTGTTTATTGCCTCAGACTCCAAAATACTAGAGAACGTCCTTAGATTCTAGACCATTTACAAGAAGTTAGCCTAATACCCTGAATGTGCAGAAATGAGTGGATGAAGGAAGCTTGTTGCCTACACTACGATAGACTATTGGGTGGAGAGCTCATTGGATTAAACCATTAGTACGTATGTTTAGGACAGACACTGCAGAGGAAGAATGAGCTGGGCCCAGAATGTATTTGGGAATTTCTACAGTGTTTTCAACAATCCCAAGTGTGCCCCAGAAACACAAACCTATGTTTTTAACACCATTATTCTTCTGATATTGCATAGCTACTACTCATGGGACACTACAATCTCTGAAGAATCAATTTTGTGGGTGACTCAAAAGGCAAGGAGAATCATATGGTGGGCATAAATAGACTGCAGCAGGAAATGGGGTAAAGGATTTCATCTAGAAAATGATGACTGGAAAAGGAGGCAGGTTGGTTATATAGTAAAGGGATGAGACAGAAAATTAAAGTGCCTCACTGGTAACCAAAGCATGTTAAAAAGGCTTAGAAGAAGGTTCCTACAGTGCCTTGTTTGGAGCCCCTGCAATCAATTTTTGGAGGACATAGGCAAGAGAAGCATAGAATGAGAAAATGTGGATGGCTTACTAAAATGTTTATTGATTGATTGATAGATGGATGGGTTGCCTTTCTGCACTATTAGACAAAGCATCTGCAACGACTGCCTTGCAGATCCACTGAAATATTGACATACTGGGAAAAGAGGAGTATCAAAGGAGGGAAAGGTCTGTTCAGGGTGATGAAAATGGATGAGAGTAAGAGGTCAGAGCCACTTAATTCTTATTTTGCTCCCATTTTCTTTGCTAAGGAGAGTAGTCCTTAGATGGGAAAGGACAGAACAAAAATGGTTAATAGGGAGTTTAAATCCAAGATAAGAAGAACCCAATTGTCCTCAGTGACTTCAAGTCATCAGGCTTGAATGAACTATATCCCAAGGTGCTGAAAGAAATGGCAGATATGACTGCTGAGCAATTTTCAATGATCTTTGAAAGATCTTGGTGAATAGGAAAAATGAGGCAGGTGTGAAGAAAGCTAATGTTGTGATTTTCAAGTATAGGCAGAAAATTATATGCTAGTGAACTTGACTCAACAAATCAAATCAACAAGTATTTATTAGGCATCCTCTGTGCCAGACACTGCGCTAAGACAAAGACAAAACTGAAACAATTTCTGCCATTATTGAGCTTTTATTGTAACTGGGGAGACAACAAATATATGTAAGTATATACAAGCCTTGCAAATCAAATACAAAAGAACCTTGGAGTGGAGGGCATTAGGAGTTCCCCTCCCTGCCCCCCAGCCTCCTGCAGAAGGTGGTAATTAAGCTAAATTTCCCTCTAAGTCTTGCCACTGGACTCCAAATAATTCTGGAGGAGAGAGTGAGGCTCATGACTTTGTACAGCTCTGCCTCACTTAAACCCAATTTAGTTGCAAGTGAATACCTCACCCTCATGATATCATTGGTCCTTTTCTAGAATGAAGGATGAACAACAAGGGAGGTCAGGGACTCCAGGAGGTGAAGGTAAGACCTGAGAGTTTTCCATGCAAGGGGAGGGATCTCCAGGGCCAAGCACGAAATTGGGGAAAGGATAGTGTCAGAATGTAGAATTCTAGGTTTACACTAGGAAAAAGACCTTAGAGGAAATTGAATTCAAATCCTAGGGAAATGAATGATTCGAATAAGTGGCATCACTTATTCCTGATTCAATTTCTCCCAGCCTGGAGAATGGTAACTACAGTGTGATCCTAGGAGAGGGAAAGGGTAGAGAATGAAGAAAGTCAGAAGAACACTGACCTTAGGATGATCACTTCTTATTGCTAGATTACTGTCAAAGTCAAGCCAAGAAGTTTTATTTTCAAAGTAGGAGAATTGATCTGGAGCCAACATCCTATAACAATAACTTTTCCTTTACTCAAGTGATTCATGTAGGCATAATGCTTTTGTCCAATGGATACTGTTATTGTAATTTACTGTTGTGCCCTGTGACTTCACGGCTGGTGAGGAAATAAAGAGCAGGAAGAGCCAGCCACTTTTGTCAAACTAGAGTTTGGAAAGTCTCTTATGGGCCAATAAAATTAACAGCTTCTGGTTTATTAAATTAGCATTAGCCAAATAAGTCTAAAGCACTTAAACCTTCTAAAGGGTTGGCAAGAATTGCAATTCTACTCCATTCAGTTCAACAAATATGTATCAAGCATTTACTATGTGCAAAAGACTGTGAAAGTTGATTTGCTTCATTGAACAGTTTGCTGGTTAATCATGAAAAGTTCTTTCCATTTCTAGTCCTGTTTTCCTTTGGGGGAAGGGGAAACTGGTTTCCAATTTTGCCTGAGCCACTTAATAGTTATGTAACCTTAGAAAAGTCACTTTACTTTTCTAACCTCTACTTTCTACATCTGTAAAATGGAAATAGTAATAACTGTTCTATTTTCCTCATAAGGTTTCTGTGAAGATCAAAGAGATAATGCATATGAAATCGTTTGGAGGCTATGAAGCAGCACAGAAACAACAGCCATCATTACCATTTGTTACTGTAATGAATTGTGAGACTTGGAAAGTACCTTAGGATGAGGAATGTCAGAGCTGAAAGGGGACTTTGAATAATGGTTCCTAACCTTTTTTAGCATGAAGATCCTTTTGTAACATAGAAAAAAATTCAAGATAGTACATGATAGTAGTTGTGTTATTAATATCCACTGAGAAAATACATGTCAGAAAGTTACTATAAATTCAGTAACACTTTTAATGAATCTGCATTTCATTAATCACTATAGTATCTATATATATTTGGAAAAAAGTGCTACTATTTTCAGTACATATGTGAGACAAACCAGTCTTCAGAAAGATTATTAATTACTTGTGGTTTTGCATATTGATTTGCAGACTCTTGACAAGAAGTTGAAGCCCTCAGACTGAGATCCATTACCATAGAACATAGTGTTTGAACCGCAGAGGACCTCAGAAACCAACTAATCTAATCCTGTCAGTGAAGAGAAACTTCACCAAGGTCACACAGCTATTTAGCAGCAAAGCTAGAACACAAGATTTTCTTTCCTTTTAGGGGAATTACTCTAGTTATAAGCATTCTTAATGACCTGGGTAACCTGGACCTGGTAGCTGCTATGGCTTTAATGTAACCTGGTCTATCCAGGAATATTGGGATCCTGAGGTGTGGAACTGCTGAGAGGGTTTTGAAGGTTGTATTCAGGACAGCTAAGTTGAATGGCTGCAGCTCCCTGTACAATGACCTTACTCAACAACTTCCTCCACACAGAAGGCGATTCATAAGTGCTCAGCACCCAGAATGCTAACTACTTTGCTAGGAAGACAAATATTAGCCAAGGTTATATAGTCAAGGCAGACGTAACCCGAAGGTCATTTCTTAATTCTCTTCCTGGAAACACCCGTAGCAGAGTTCATAGCCATATTCCTTGACATTCTTTCACTTCTGGGTCATAAGGCACTCACAGGATCATCCTAATCTAGCTGAGTTTGGTTCCTCCACTCAGCCGTCTATGAGGGCCTTTCTGTGGAGTAAATCAGTTGGTAACTTGGCTCCATTTAGATAGGGAATTGCCCAAGAGGTGGGGAAGGCTGGAATAAAGTAAAGGTTCCTCATAAATTAACCTAATTCTTATGCCAATGCCTTTTCTGCTTGGGGGCAGGGGAAATTTTTGCATCCTCTTAGAATTATTGATTATCAGTGCTAGAAGGAGGCTTAGAACATAAGACTGTCAGGGTCTTATAGATCATCTGGTCCAATCCTCTCATCTATCAGAAGAGTAAACTAAGGGTGAGAAAAAGGAAGTGCCATGCTTGTGGTCATTTAGGGAGTTAGTGAAAGAGCTGATTCCCTCAGGAACCATTAAGTGAAGTAAATATCAATAGTCAGATTGGTGAGAAAGGCTGGAA